AAAAAAGGTTTGGGTTTGAGGTAGAGCCATGTGGATTTTGTTCACAAAATGTGGAAAGTATTGATCATTTGTTTTTTTTCCTGCTCAGTAACAACTGACTTTTGGCAAGATCTAGTAGACTGTTGAGTATAAGAATAGATGGGATGACCCCGCTGACTCTAACACAAGTTTTATATAATAATAGTGATCCATCTAAGGAACTGTCCATGCTACACAAGGTGGTGATAATTATGGGCAAATACCACATACACAAATGCAAATGGAAAAGTAAAAGACCTTCCCTAACTGTATTGAAAATTGAATTACAATCTTTTTTGTCATCTTTAGAATTACTGAGGGATTCATGTAAAGAGGCTGCTTTGATATGCGACAATGGGACTCAACCTCTATCCTTTTAATGATTGTGTTTTTGGTGTACTAAGTAAGCCACATGTATGTTAAAGTGTTCGCAGAAAGGAAACTGTTATATGTCATAAAAATGGCCTTCATATATTTATGTATATGTATATATGTGGGGTTTTTTTTTTTGTTTTTTTGTGTTTGTTTTTTTCTTTCCGTTTGGTTTGTTATTCAACTTTTTCAAGATGTTGTTGCACTAATGTTGTCTCCCAACGAGAGATTGTAATGTGTGCATAAATTTAATTAAAGTATGAAAAAAAAATACCATTACTGACATGCGTAGTGTAGTGCGTTTTTAAAACGCCCCCCTGCGGCTGTATCTTTTATTACAATCAACAGACGTTCTTCTTCTACTACTTGTCGACAGTGTTGGAACATCGCATGAACGCCCCCTGCTGTCCGGTATGCATGGACAAACCAATGACTGTAGAAAACAGTTGTCATTGGGACAAACGTGTACGATGTGATCCATCAGCGTAAAGTAAGATTTACAAATGGTTATAGCAGTTTGTGTGTAATTCCAGCCCACACACACACACACACACACAAGTACAAATCGGTCTGAACATTATTCTAGAAAAGTGTGCGGTCAACGTGTAGTAACCAGCTAACATGTGTTAATGCACAATTGTATTTGATTTGTTGCTAAAATGTGCTACTTGATTGCTTTCTGTTAGTTGATTTGGATCTAACTGTATTATTAAAATAAATTCTAAAGACTTCTACCATAAAGCTTTCCCGTATCAACACCGGTTCTCTCGTATGAGAATTTCTGTTTCTATTATTACATCTATTAAAAACATGATGCTAAGCTAAATTCAAATCCCACATACCTTAGAGTTTTTGCAGCATCTGTACTGCAGTCTGTCAATGTGATAAAGTTCACGGTCACAAGCTTCATTCAAATCTTCACGTGTCTAGTTAAAATAAACAACTCTGAACCGTAAGTATGTATCAAATTTATTCTCAAATACACAAGCAAAGGTGGCAATATGAAATCAAGCAATGTGACACTATAAATGTCAGCTTTCTGAAATGTTGACTCTTCATTTAGCACCTTAATAGTTAGTTGGGTTACACATGATTTATATAGTCACACATAGAAAAAGGAACGGGTGAATAATGCGAGTCAGTAACATAAAAATAAGCATGGAGAGCTGGGGCATTTGGATCACAGTTACTGAGGATATACACTGCATGTAGGTAAAAGTACCGCTGTGGACGTCTAGTGCCACGAGTACCATCGAGCCTCTACAGCCTGACACAAAAAAAACACCCCCACCCCGCATTCCTCACAACAAGAGTTATCTCATGACTAGGCCTAGACAGTGATTACTAAAAACAAGTTCTTCTGACATTTTTGGACCTTTCTTTCTTTTCACATTACAGTTTGCTGGTCTGTAGAGTTGCATATACACAGGAGTAATAGATATATACAGAGGGGCTCACTGTCAAACAATGCTGAAACAAAAGATGCTTGCTGTACCTGGAGTGTGAAAACGTAAATAATAATGGAAAGGCACTTGATTTGCTCCTGTGCAGCCAATGAATCTGGCCTGAGTGCCTGGGTGTGCCTGGCGCCCTCTAGTGCCAAACTGTGGTCTCAGTTGTTTCTGGATGGGCAGCTCAAGGGCAAGTGGCTGAACTGGAAGGGTCTTCCCATGATAAAATATTAAGTGAGTGTTTGAAGGAGTGTAATGATCAAATGCTAAATATTGTACAGTTTTCTGTAGGAGGGAAACAATAACCTCCTGGGTTAAGGCCTGAAAAATAAAAACAGGCTGCGCTCTGTAGTGGATTTGAAGAAGAGAAGCTAAACTTTCTACATAGATCAATTGAGATTTGTCCTATCGTCGTTCTTACTTTAAAACCCTGTTCGACCAAATTTAGTGTCAAGCGCCCCGACTCCAACAGGCACACACGAGTTCAATAAGCTACCATCAGATCCTCGTCGACACAAGTGGGAACACTAACTTCACATGAACGGACACCAAACACAAGGAAGAGAAAAAAAACTACATGACGTCCACGAAGAACTCGCTGGGGTTTCCCATGGCCAGGTGGAACGACTGCCGTGACGCAGTGAGCTCTGGGGGTACGGAACCCAGGTCACGAGTGGGCGGAGCACCAGGCGGTCCTCCAGGAGTGGAGGAAGGAGGTGGAGGTAACGCGGGGTGCATGGGAGCTGCCGCCATCGGCTGCGTGTGCTGAAGGCCGTGGGCGGTTGCCATGGCCGGGTGTGGATGCTGGGGTACCATCATCACCATCATGGGGTTGTACGGCAGGATTCCCGGCGGGTAGGGGGACATGTGGGGCGGTTGGGGTATGCGGTGATGATGCGAGCGTTGGGAGGAGGCGTGGCTGTGCTCGCTGGGGGCGGCTGAACCGTGGCCGCGCCTCAGACTGCTGCGCGTCGAGTACTCAGACTCGCTGCCGCTGCCGGAGCGCGAGTCGGCACCGCCACCTTCTCCACCACCGCCGGACGGGGATTTCTCCCCTCCGCCCACAGTGCTACCAGGGCCTTTACTGCTGCGACGCCGCTCACCCTCGCTTCTCGTCGAGCCGCTGCTCCGGCTCCCTGCAGCAACACGGGAGAGAAAATACTGTTTGATAACAAGTCAAACAAATCTGAGCTCTGATGACACTGCTTAGCTGATTTACCAGTTGTACTAAAATCATTTACACTTTTCTGTGAAGTCTTTCTTGTGTAATTTCTTAGCATTTTCCACACAGCTGACTGCTGCCCCCCGGTGGAGGTGAGTTAGAAATTAGTTGCATGGATTGTGTGATGGCTCAGACAGAACAGGAAAGATGCACCTGAGGACACACATGGGACGAAGACACATTAGCAAACTTAAGCTGCCTTTGTCTACAGTTTTATTTATAGAAAAACTGAATTAAAAGTGTTCATAGGAGGTGGTTCATTTATGATATTACTTATTACTGTGATTTAAATTTACTACTCTTGCATTGAAGTTGTGTCCTAGCAGCAGGCGTTTGACCCATTGGCCCTAACACTTTGCATATGACTGGGTACAGCCACCAGACTGTGCTGTTTATGCTTTTAAACAAAGATTTCAAGAAAATGCATCATTTTCTTTTGTATTTGATTAAAGTGAAGATTAACGATTGAGTGGGTTGAAGCATTCTAGTCTTTGGCAATGGCTGGTTGCAAACTCCTGTGTGCAGATGTCTTCAACCTTTAACTCTACATATGCAACTATCTTCTCTCCTTTGCACAACAGGAATTGCTGCTCATTTAGATTTTCACTTTTTAAATAGCCGAATTTTGAATCACAGATGCCACAGGCGCTCTCCTGAGTCTCTGGTGTAGTGGTGAACACATTCATCTTACACGTGAAAGATAAAATGTGTCGTCTGAGACCAGGAGGAGGCAGAATCCCAGTCTAAGAGGTAGTGTACCGGTACTTTAATTTGTGGAAATGCAGTGTTCTCATGCATGAAGGCACTTTTGGCTCACACAGAGGAGGTTTAGGCCAAAAGCAGTAAAATGTTTTATTAAAAGCCCGTCATTTACTCAGCTTCAGACATTTTTATTCATTAAATGGGCAGAAAATAATATAATGCAGACTTATTGCAGTTAGTGGACATGGATCAGGGATGTGCAGTCATCTTCAAATGACCCATCTGAGCCAAGGAAAATCCTGAAATGGTAGAAATTGAGCAATAGGCTCATATGTCCTGTTTTATTGTATTTTCTAATATTATATCCATGATTAATAGCCCTGTGTGCAGTCATCAAGAGCCACAGGATATATTATACACAATGTCAGAGCACACTATGTAGCTCTGTCATGAAAAGCTAAACTTCTTGAGTAATATTTTGGAGTGGCCCTTCAAACAGGAAGCGTTTGCTCACAGCGGCCTCACCTACAGCATCTCACTCTAAAAATAAATACTGGATAAAAGAACATTTCTCTCCGCTTACCTTCGCTGTGTTGGCTGCCAGTGCTGCCCGGGGCGTAGCTGTAACTGGTAAGCTCGTGGTACGGAGGCGGCTGGCTGGAGAAGGGATGTGTTGGGTATGGCTGATAGGGGAAGGTGTGCATCATGGGCCACGGGGAAGCCCCAGGGAGCGGCAAGGGGGCCAGGGTGTCCTGGTCCGAGGCGCCGCTGGAACCGTCGTTGTCATTCAGAGACAGATTGGCCATATCTGTGTGGGAGACACGAGGGAGAGGGTGAATAATGGTGCAAAAATGTTCCTTCAAGATTTACAGCTAACAGAGAATAATTTTTAGGTTTGCATGATGAATGGCTTCAAATATCAACCTCTGACGTGAAAAGATCTTTTCTTGCACCAAACCCGAAAAAAAGATGACTACATCTGAACCGTTAATATGGTGCAGCTGGTGGACAATGATTGGTCTTCTTTCCTGAGATTTCATTTTAGCGATGGCAGGACATTAAAGAATCCTTTGATAACTATGACGTCAAATGTCTAACCCCTTCTACAACCGGTGCGTCCACCAGTGCCCATGTGCAAAATGTGATTAAGGATAAAACTCAGCAGTCGGATGTGTTGCTCAGTGTTTGATGTCAGGGTTTTGCAGCCACTCACAGTTCTCACAGTCGCTCAAGTCTCCGAATACATAGTAGCACTGTTCGGAGAATGTGATCTTATTGACCGTGTGACGAATGAAGCCGGCCTTCAGCAGGTTGCTGGCGTACTTCCTGGCTTCACGGCGGTCCTGAAATCCCTCGATGTGGTGAAACAACCACTCAACTACGTCTGAACCTGATGAGGGGTGCAGAGAAATCATTTTAATCATCATTAAGAAACATTTTGTCCCATAGATGCCAGGTTTTTGTAATAAAATTCAATGAATCATGAAATAAAGAGTTTTGACTGATCTTTTAAAAACAAACTAGCAAAACAAAAACACACACTAGGCTCAGTGCGTGCTCACATAAAAAGATTTGTTTCACACATGACTCTTTTTCTAAACATAATCCCAGTGAGAGCCCCTACTACAACCAGAAAACGTATTAAATGAACATGATAATTAAAGAACATCTTATTATAATGAACATACCATACATATATCTGCATGGACCTTTTTCCCTCTCGTGCAAAACTTTGCACGAGCATACCTCAGTTATTAACATGTTTTTTTTAAATAATCATAAATCCCAGTTCATGTTTCATGTTCATCCCCTGTGAATGATTTTGTTTTAAGCGTCACGTTCGTCATGTGGCTTAACAGTCACTAAAATTTGCACCCATGATGGAATTTTGTTCAAATCACCAGTAAACACAGAAGGAAAAATTAGAAAAAGAGCGCCGCAGGCCGGTAAATATAACAGTAAAACCCAACATTGTTACAATAAAAGGGGACCTGAGATTAATGGTTCGGTGCGACGATTTATCGAGTCATGTAAACGGGAGCATTTCACCCACATTTGTGACTAAAAACAGACCCGCAATAGAAACATATTTAGGTGCAGGAGCAGTTACTGAGCAGTTGATCCATAATAAGACAAAAACGTTTCTTATCTTATTACTCCATTAATCGATTGACTTGATAGATTACTCGATGTGTAAAATAATCAATAGGTAAATACAAATTTGAATTTTTCAGTTCAAGTTGTCACTATGTGCGGAGGATTTTAGAATTCAGGTTATGTGTTAAGCCGTAGTTACCCCATTGATTGAACTAGATAAAGACACTAACTCATTAATGTTGTTTGTCTCCCTCTGGAGGCCACATCAATATGAAAACGACAGATGTTTTCATATCTGATGTTATGCCTGTAGACAGTTTGAGAAACAGCAGATTGAGTTTGAGAAAAAACATTGAACTTTAAATGCAGCACCATAACAGCTGCAGTGAAGAGCAACAAAAGCAACACCGCCATCAAATGTACCACACCACACAGCTGGCTGGGTGTGGTTACACATTTTATTCCTAATACACTTCCTTATATTTAACTTCCCCATGTCTGTAACCTCACTGCTTGCATTCTGTTTGAGAGTTTGTTTTAAAGTGAAGGGTTCCCAGTGCTGGATGCAGACCACTGAGTCATGTATTTATGTGGAGAATCTGAAACATCAACACCGCCGGGCTTACTTCTGGCTTACATCTAAAGTAGCCGAGTGGAAATCTAACCAGCGGATTATTTATAAATCAAATATCTTTAAGAGGAATTTAGCAGGAAAACGACAAGCTCAAAAACTAGCCACGTGAAATGAACACCTCTGACTGAAAAAAAACCTGCCTGACGCCTGAGGTGTGCCTGTAAGCTGCTGTGTTAGAGTGCATTAAGAAGTTAGGGGGGAAAGTAATAAAATCAGAGACTGAATATAACACCAAATTTTCATTTCAAAAAGTACAAAGTAGACAAACACGTAGTAATTATCCCTTGTGATTCAGCTGCATGCGATTCCAATTTAACACATGTTTTCATTCAAAACAGGCATTCACGTTTGTACTTGAGGGGTTTTTCCTCCCACAAGTCACACGGTTTTAATTCTGTGAACATAATGCCTGCCCTGTAAAGTCCTGTGAGCCGCAAAAAGTTCATGGAACGAGTGTAGTCTCTGTTGCCTCGTTTCCACTTTTTGTCTTACCTAGGAAAGCGTTGGGAATGGTGATTTTAAGCCACATGCGGTCCCGGACTTCCAGACCCGACTCTGGTGAGGCCATGGCTTTGGCGACAGATGCCATGTCAGAGTGCAGTGATAAGTTAAAGTCATCAAAACCTGGAGAAGGATGAAGAGTGGTTAAGGAAAAACCTCAGGAGGGAAAAACATGCAAGAAAGCATGACAGATGAAAACAGAACGGGGCCAAAAACAAGAAAGCAAGGAGTGGAACTTCAAAGAGATCAAAAGCAGGAAAGCAGCAGACGTCATTTATCACACAACAGCCGCGACAAAAGCAGAAAGACAGATGTGAAAGACGACTCCTGTGCCAGTGTCGGTGGGAGACAAAGACGGACACAGACTGAAGAAGGGGAAAGAGATACTTTAGAATAATGAACTGAATTCAGACTGAATATCACGAGTCTGGATATGAAACTAGACAACTAGACACGAAGGACAGTTTTATGAAAATAATACACAGCCGTGAAAAGGCTGATATTACTAAAGGGGATATTATAAAGGAGCAAATATAGAGTAGGGTGAATGCAAAGACTCTTACGTTCAGTCTCGGTGACGGAGGACGAGGACGTGATGGTGCTGAGGGAGGAACTGCCTGGGTAGGGAGGGTAAGCCCCGGTCATGGCCACGGAGTGACTGACCCATGCTGCAGGGTCAATGGGTCGGACCGGCTCATCTGCAGGGTGAGGAAAACAATTAGGAAACAGTTACTGACACAAACATGGATCCGTGTGTTGTGTCTCAGGCAGAGCTGTACGTACTGCGAGGCAGAGTGAAGTAGCCCTGAGGAGACGGGTCCCAGCACTTTGCCACTGTGAGGATGATGGGCCTGGAAAAGAGTACGCAGACATCACGACTACGGTCAGATCACATCGTCCACGCTAATACTGGGGTGAAGATTTACCCGATACAAAAACGTCACATGGCAACAAGACAAGGCAGGGCATGTCTGAGAGTGAGAGCTGTGTGTCAGCCTCCAATGATCATTTATTAATAAAACAAAACAAAAAAAGACAGATACTTCTACAACCTCCCAAAGCACAGTACTTTGCAAAATATGCAAGAAAACTGAAGGTGGAGAGAACGAACACCTTTCACCACTTGAGGAAAAAACACAAGGCTACGAAGAAGGAGATACTAGCAGCGACGTGCGATTTAAACAAATCTCCACACAGCTTCACTGGAGCGCTCACTAGCTACACATCATAAGACAAGAAGAGCAAATGATGGATCAAAGTTACTGAAACAGGACTTTAAGAAGCTGGATTAAAGCCCAACCCAAGATATAACATCACAGAAGGACAAGAAGGAAAATCCCCTTTATTTACTTCCACTTCTAAACGCTGCTGCCTTAATAAAACTGCAACCATCAATAAAATGCTGTTCAGTAAACTTTTCCTATATTCTCAGAAATATCATTATAGCTTCTCTAAATATCATGATATAATTTTGAGACTATACCACCCATCCCTGATAACAACAAAAGCTTACTACCTGTTGACAAGACAAAACCTGAAAACATTTGATATCATCTAAAAAGTCAGATGGAAAAAAAAAAAAAAACAACATACCCTGGCTTGTGTACAATCTCCCTCAGGACCCGCACTGCATCGTCGTTACTCATATTTTCAAAATTGATGTCATTCACCTAGGAGGAGAGGGGATAATGAGGCATAAGAAAAAGGTTTATTTAGACTCATAAGTGGAGATGAATTATTTATTGATGCTGATGATGAAGAATAACAACCAACTGTTTTGGTAGCTGATTAATCAAAGTCTTTTCAACAGAAAAATGTCAGTAATTTCCCAGCTCTAGCTTCTTGATCGGAACAAAAAAAATAAATAAAAACCAGTTGCATTCATACGCATAAATACTTCCTTTGTTTAGGTTTAGAGAGAAACAGATGTGTTCATGTAGACATGGAATGAACTACAACTGAAGTGAACAAGCACTGATCTGGACTGGATCACCCACTAGAAAAGCTCCTGAAATGAGACCCAGCAGATCTCAAAACCAAACAACCACACTGGTATTTCCTGGATAAACCAGCTGTCCGAGCAGTAATTTAAAAAACTAAATAAATCAAGACATCGTCATTTATATAGGAAAAAGCCATCATTCCTCCTCACCTGCAGCAGCATGTCACCAGGTTCAATGCGTCCATCAGCAGCCACAGCTCCTCCCTTCATGATGGAGCCAATGTAGATGCCTCCATCCCCCCTTTCGTTGCTCTGGCCCACTATGCTGATACCCAGGAAGTTGTACTTTTCTGTACGGTTGAGAAATCACAATAATGTTAAGACGAGGTGAACATTAGGTAAGAAAAATGAATCTGAGATATAAGTTTAAAGGTTCATGAGGTGCATGAGGAGAGTACAGACCCATGTTTAGAGTGACGGTGATGATGTTCAGAGACATCGTGGAATCTGTAACACTGCTGAAGGAGGAGGCCTGGAGCAGGAAATGACAACATTACACTACAGACACTGACGTGACCAAAACATTTAATCTGTTTGCACAAAGTAAATTGTGTGCACACACCCTCTCCAGACGTGGGGGACGCTGTTTCCTCCGTCGACGATGTCGCTTAAGAAGCCTCGAAGCTGTGCTCTGCTCTGTGGCACTGCTGAACCTGTTCAACAAAAGGTGAAAGGTCAAGAGAGAGAAATATCTCATAAACCTTTAACAGGCTTGGTTCTTAAGGAGGTCAACACAAATTTAAGGGACAGCTTCTCTCGCATTAGCCTGTTTCATCACCTACTGGATACATACGACATTTATCGCTTTCTCACCTGCTCATCGTGTCATCGTCCTCAGAGTCGCAGAAGCTGGTCGTTTCTAACTCGCTGCTCATCACCGTGCTAGAGCTCTCGTATCCTGCCAGGTGGCGCTCCAGACGACTCTGGCCGTTCATACGAGGGCCTGAAATGCCGCACGAGAGTCCCCAAAGACAACAGGAAAATAATCAACATGATTTTTCATGTTTGTGCAAGTCAGGGTTTCCCTATAGATCCCAAACATTCCTCACTCCTCAGCAACTCTCTGATTATATCAACTTGTATTGAGTGTCTGGGAGATATAGACGTGCCAAATCTTGATAGGAGGCAGTATTAAAAGGATTGTTTTCGTGTGCACGAGTGTCTCACCGTGTTGTTCCATGCTCTCTCTGTGCCGAGGCCTCTCTCTCCTGAAAGAAACTACAGACTCCGTTTCAGTCTGGTCGTCCAAAGTCTCCACGCTGCCTGTTGCATTGGGACTGTAAAAATAAGCACAATTACAGATGGAATTAGAGCACGACTGGATTCAACACTGGATTTGCAGTAATCAGTGTTTACAACATAAAAGGCATTTCTAACTACATACGTTTTTTATGTTATGCATTTTTGCAATTATAGTAGGCTAGAAAGTACATGCCCTTCCTTAAATTACCTGTTCTTTTAAAGCAGTATTGCCTGCTGCTGTATACGAATATCTAAGCTTGATTTTTTTCGTCCCAATTTCTAACAGCTTCCTCTGAATGAAAATGGGCTTAACTGAATCTGACACATCATACAAGTATTTATATTATTTATTAATTATCATACAAATAAATAAAGAAAATAAGTGCCAATTTGCTATTTGGAGAACTGTAATATTTTCAGGAGGACATTTGAACAGTCAAAAGAAAAACCTGTCAGTGTTTCTGCTGGACTAACTTCAAAAGAGGCCTTTTTTCTAAATGGTCTCATGCTGTTATCTCCCAAGAGACATCCTTATCAGTAATAAACTAGAATCAGCTGATATCAGTCCATTTCTTTAGTCAAACTCTAGACTATTCTTCAGTTAAACGGAACTACTCACCCTTTTCCTTATTTTCTGTCACATTTACATATTTATATCACGCCATTTAAAAACAACTTGGTAATTGTCCAAATAAGTGTCCTGAGAAGGACCAAGGCCCAGTATAGGCTCCTTAGATGCTGTCAGACTATTCTGGGAGTCTAAGAATACAAATATAGAGCTGAACACATGTACAACTGTTCCCTTTTAACTCATTCACTGCCAGCCATTGGCAGTGAATGAGTTAAACCCATTGACTCATTCACTGCCATTGACGGCTATAGACGTCAATGGCAGTGAATGAGTTAAACACCAAATCAACATTTTAATACATACTTTTATCATTATGTGCTTAATGTTGCTTACATTAAAGTTGTTGGTCAGGTACGTGTCACTTTAATCAGGCCTTGGACATGACATCTGCTATGTATTACATTGTCTCTTATTGCAGTGAAGGCTATAGAACAGCACAATCTCTTTGCTGGTTAAACTGAACCTTTTCTTTGGTACCAGAGACCCTTTCATTTGAAGATTGTCACGTATGAGCAGTAAGGTGTCGGTCTAGCTCCAAACATATTATGGAAACAAATAACTAATTTACTTTTTCTTCTTTACTTCCTTACTAATGACTCGTGAAAAAGCAGTGTGCAGATATACTTGGTTTTTTTATAAAGATAAAGGATGGACTATGGTTATAACTATAGTTTTCAGTAATGTTGGATTGGTCATATCAATATCAATATTAGATTACATGAAAGGCAGCAAACATCGATGTATATCTAAGCTGGTGACGCTGATTAGATTCACTCACTGAATTCTACCTTTTTGATTAGCTTTATACTGCCCAGGTGTTAGAAATCATCCCTACAGCTATTGAATCATCTGTTTATATCCTGTTGAGTTCAATTGGCTCGATCCACAAAGAGCAGTGAATATCAGAGTAGCAGTTCATCACAGCTGACCTGTGATTTATGTACAATAATGCGAAGATCTACTGGATATCCCAATACAAAACAGTGTGCAACCACTTCTGATTTTTTTGGCCCACACCGATACACATTTTTGCTACACCTGATCTTACAGCTTGCCCACCTGTGAAGTCCCACTTTAACCTTCTTCGTACATGTATGTACAAGCTGTACAATATGATATAATAATATAATACAAATAAATAATAAATAGTTATTTTGAAATTCATACTGGTTTTTTGCTTTTTTAAAAGCTGTCCTAATCACACACGTGTGTGTGCGCGCATGCATGTTTTTGTTTGTTTGTATGTTTTAAAACATGAAATGACTACATGTAAGATGAGATCTCATTCTTGCTCTAAAGACTTGTATTAGCTTGACAGTTTTTAAGCTTCATTCACTTCTTCGTTTTGCTTTTTCAGCTCAAAACTAATGTTTTTGGTAGCCTCTGTCTCAATGCAGGTTCTGGTAAACCCAGCGTTGAATACCTGCCCAGGAACTGACAGCAAACAAAGTGAGAAACCAGTTGGTTCACTGCGATTAGCAGATCTTTCCAAAACAGTGTTCAACAAGAATAATCACTAGGAAACTGTTTGTTGACACATTTGTCATATCAACTTAATGTGGTGTTACAGTTTTCTGCAGTAACCCCAACTATCCAAACCAACTAGACCACATTTCACAACATTTCAAAGCACACTGGAAGTTCTTGAATATGGCAAAAAACATACTCAAACTGTGTGAGGGAACACTTCAATCAGATCTGTCTACTCAGGGATTGAAAGCTTTTCCTTGTGTCAATAACAAGGGCGGTCCCAGCTAAGATCAGTTTCAAATGAGCTCACATATTCGTGCGTAAACCTGATACTCTGAGAGTGTGAGATATTCAGGTAAATATACAGTTTCTAATTAAAACTATAGGAGGAGCACAGGTGTGTGTTGCAAGTCTTCAAGTACAATGGGTGAAAAGTGGTGGATCATCCCAAAACTACATGAGATCAGCTTGTTAATGACCTGAAGACAGTTGGGATCACAGTCGCTAAGAACAACACTGGTAACACACTTGAGCACAATGCAATGAAATCCTGCAGCGCACACAACATCCATACATGCCACCCTTCCTGATTTTTCTGTGAGAATCCCAAATTTCAGTGCCATTCATCCATCCATTCGCTACCGCTTATCCTTTTCAGGGTCGCGAGGGGTGCTGGAGCCAATCCCAGCTGTCATAGGGCGAGAGGCGGAGTACTCCCTGGACAGGTCGCCAGTCTGTCGCAGGGCTAACACACAAGGACAGACAACCATTCACACTCACATTCACTCGCACATTCACACCTAGTGGCAATTTGGATTATCCAATTAACCTATCCCCACAAGCTGCATGTCTTTCAGAATTTCAGTGCCCCTCCCGAAAATCTCCCGATTTTCCACCCGGACAACAAAATTTAAAAACCATACCCCAGATAGGCCCAGGCAATTCCAGTTTCCAATGGCTACTACTACTGCAGTTACTTAGTTTTAATACTACTCTAATTATTCTTTCTGGGTCACAAAATAAACTTTTAACATATTTTCAGGCGAGAATGTAGCTGTGTAAACTTGAGCTGACGAGAACAGCAAATTCCCGGCACATCGTTTATAAACCCCCGCGGTCTTTCACTACTCAGGATAAACATGATATATAAGTCACTTAAATAACTTGTTTGGCTTTTTCAGTGTTTTATTTGTTCGTGGGTAAATCGGTTTGGCTGAGATTAAAGTTATTAGATTAGATTAAACAAAACTTTATTAATCTCTCGGGAGGGTTCCTCCGGCGGTTTTCACACAGCTGAATAAACGTCAGACAGAAAACTGATTGAACTGAAGTGTGAGATGGTCGAAAATGTACACCAGCGTCCGGTTATATTTTAGATAGCAAGGAGCAGACGGCAGAGTTTCACTCCACCGAGAGAGCTCGTGACGTAGTTCTGAAGGTTAGACCGTCCAATTTCACGGTCGCTCATTTCCGGTCTACCCGACCCACTTAGACCACGAAGGCCGGGTCCTCAGGTGGACCCAGCCTCTGAATTTGGACACCTCCGCTGTTTCCAGCCGGACAATAATAACGGTGACATTTAACTTATTTTATCCGATAAATAAACACTGTAAAATTCAAATCTAGCACTTTGACATCATCTCAACCAACTGTGTTTGAAAGGAGGAAAATGCTGAGCACATCCCTGCAGTTCAGGAGTTGGAACCATTATTGGGGCTGTTTTTCTGCTAAGGGGACAGGATGACTTCACTGCATCGAGGATGTCAATGAACAAGACATGTAATATACAATCACGGACGAGAACCTCCTTCTCTCAGCCAGAACGCCGAAAACGGGTCATGGATGGATGTTCTAGCATGACCAAAAAAAATCACCAAGGCAACAAAGGAGCAGCTACAGATGAAGCAGGAAATCATGAAGTGGCCTAGCCAGTCTTCAAACCTCAGACTTATACAAACTCTGTGGAGGAAGCTGAAGTTTTGAGCTGCCATGGGGCAGCTAAGAAAGGATTTAAAGATTTGTGCAAACCTGGTGACCAACTACAAGAAACATCTTACAGCTGTGCTTGCTAACAAGAGTTTCTCCACCAAGTACT